GGGGGGGGTGGTGTTGTGAAGATGGAGTGTGACATTAATGCGGAGCCCCCTGTGGGTGTGTTTCTGTTTTGCTGTGTACAGGGCAGCGCTGTGGTCACTGTGAGCCAGGTCGCTGGGGACAGGATTGTGCCTCCCAGTGTTACTGCCTGAAAGGGGTCCACTGCCACCCGGAGAACGGTACCTGCCTGTGCCCCCCGGGGCATAGGGGCCCGAGCTGCGTACACTGTGAGTAACCGTGGGGACAAAGATGGCTGCTGGTGCCATGTTGACAGTGAGGGGCCAAAGCACGGTAGGACAGCTGGAAGCAGTGTAAATCAGGAGCATGACCTGACCCTCCAACAGAGCCTACTCCCTCAGCACTGACCCTCCAACAGTGCCCACTCCCTCAGTGCTGACCCTCCGACAGTGCCCACTCCCTCAGTGCTGACCCTCTGACAGCGCCCGCTCCCTCAGCACTGACCCTCCAACAGCGCCCGCTCCCTCAGCGCCGACCCTTCGACAGTGCCTGCTCCCTCAGCACTGACCCTCCAACAGCGCCCGCTCCCTCAGCGCTGACCCTCCAACAGTGCCCGCTCCTTTGGCTTTCAGTCACTCAACCTCAATACCTCACCACAGGGAGAATGGGGGGTCTCGATCCCACAGGGAACGGGGGAGAATCAGTGACTCATTCCCACGGGAGGGGGTGGGGGGAGAATGGGGGTCTCATTCCCACAGCGAATGGAGAGAATCAGGGACTCGTTCCGGTGGTGAGCAGTGGGGGAGGTGAATAACAGAGATTTATTGAAGGAAGGAAACTGGATAAACAGATGGAGGGAGGAATAGAAGGATGGGGGCGGTGTAGTGGGGAGATGAAGAGGAGAGTGCATGGATCCAAGGGGCCGAATGGCCCCCATCTCTGAACTGGGAATATCCCTCAACAGGAACATTGGAAAGTGAGGGGTAACGCAAGCTGGCGCGCTGCTTGGGGAGAATAAAGTGTTGCGTTTGCAAAAGGGCTTTACGTGAGAGTTTGTCTCCTTCTGTGCCCCCTTCCCTCAGATTGCCCACCCGGTTCCTGGGGTCCTGACTGTGTTCACCAGTGTGCCTGCGAAAACGGGGCGACCTGTCTCCCATCGACGGGCAGGTGCCAGTGTGCCCAGGGATGGACTGGCACCTACTGCACGCAGAGTGAGTAACCTCCGAGGCTGGGTCCCTTGCTCCTCAGACAGGACTGTACGAGGTGGCGCCTTGGCGAGGTGTGTGGATGGGGTAGGGTGAGTGGCAGAGACCATCAGGACGCAAAGGGCACGGGCTGGTGGCGGGGAGGGGGCGGCGGGCGTATCTCTCCGTTTCCTTCCTCCCTCTCTGCCGTCACTGTCCGTCACCATAGTGTCTCCGTTTCTAGGCCGCATCCTTGTGCCTGCCCCACCAGTGGAGTTGTTCATGGATAAATACGTCTCGTCCCTCGGTCCTCAATCCATCCGGAATATACCCCCACCGTGTTGGCCGGGGGATTCTTTTTGTGGGATGGGAGAAAGATTTCGGGGGATAACCCCCCT